TGCCTCATTGTATGCAAACCCTACAACTGATTAAATTTTGTTTGGTCAAAAACATGAAAGGCACTGGGGAAAATTTGCTAGCACAATTCAAGTTTTCCGTTAGGTTCATCATTTTATTTTAATGATCTTTTTGTTATCAAATGGTAAAGTTTATAGTTTCAACTTATTTCATTGTCCTCTGTTCATTTGTTTGTTTGCTTGCTCTCCTAGCAGTCTTAACTATTGTGACCAAGAAATGCGAGGAGCAAACAATATGTGTACAGTTCTAAAAGACATAATGTTATCTGTTTTATAAAAAGTCATGTAGAGTTTTCCTTGAATGTATCACTGTGGTAAGTGCAAGTGCCCAATGGGAGCCTTGTGTACACAAAATTTGAAGTTTAATAAGTAGCTTTTTAGGCTACAAAGTTTAACAAAGAACAGATATACCAAACAATGTGTAATCAAGTATACAGAACTGACATGCACGAGTGAAGCATTTCAAACATTAAGGCATGATAGCAAATTTGCTTCATGTTACGTGCACAGATATGATTTTGAGCATTCTTTCAGGGCTGATAATTAACTATCCACTCAGTCTCCATTCAATCAACAGCTTGAAATTGGAGTCAAATTAACCCGTGTTGTTTGTGATGAGAATTTAATGAGAGGATGTAAAGAATTCATCTCTGGCAGCTTTGAAAACTTCTGTACCTCGTCTTTCAAAGAGCAACATTTGTTTTAAAAGGCAGCACATAAATAGGTGCAGTATTATACTCTAGTAAAGTGTTCTTGTATGGAATGAACTTCAGTACCCTCGAAACTTAATTGACCTCATGATTAAGGTTTTAAAAATAGAAATGTGCAATAGGTCTTTAAATGCCTAATGAGAAGCAATGCCATTTACAAATTTACAAACAGTAAAAACCAAAAACTTAAAGATGGAATTTGTTAAAACTACCGTTAGTATTACAGATATAACACTGCGAATCTTTTCACTAAGATTTTAATCAATGACTGGCTCAGAGATAAAAAGAGTCTCTGTAAACACAAACCAGAGCAATCTTATTTTAGATTCAGGAGACTGATACAACATTAAGTGGTTTACTGAAAGTACCTGCTAACTTGATTTCACTCGCGAAAAGAGAGCCCTGCAACACTTTAATTTAGTTTTACCTTCTCATGAGTGAATTAAAACGTAAACTTCATTATTTGCAAGCATTTTAGGGAGGATATGAAACATAAAACTGTTACATTTAAAAATAAACACAACTGACAATAAAATGAAGCAGAAGCATATTACCTACATGTAGATTCTTTTGAATACCGCTATAATGTGCATTATTTGTGCAATTGTTTACATAATATGTAGTCTGGGTGCAACTGTAATGAGCAATTTTACCCGAAAAACATTACCTCCTTCTTGCCCCGTACCGGTATATCAATTATATTAAGTTGAGTACNTTTTAATGTAACATGGTTTTTAAAATCATATGAAAAGTTTGAAATGTGCTTCATTTATTCATTTAAGTTACAGAATACGAATTTATCATTCATGATCAAGTATTTATGAACATGAAGACCCCGAAAAGAAAGACCTAAGATCCCCTTCGAAAATGAAGACCCATTGCGAAAACGAAGACCAAAAAAACAACAACAACAACAACTTTTTCGGTTCTCTTGATTTTGTAGTCTGTTATTTTGTATTAACTGACAGAAAGGAGTGCACCCAGAAATTGTGGCTCAGTAGATGTATTGGGTGACGGTTAAAGTGCAGGTGGTAGAGAGAACATAACATCTGATAACTGTACTGATTTGATTATTTTTGTGAAGCAAATATATTAAGTGAATACAAAGACCCTAAAAACGAAGACCAAAGACCTCCACGAAAACAAAGACACCCCTACGAAGACAAAGACCCATTAGCTTTCAGCTATTCTTAAATTCGAGGTGAATAGAGTTTATGTATGTATGTATGTATGCATGTATGTATGTATGTATGTATGTATGTATGTATTACAAAACAAAGACCTATTACCCAAGACCCATTTGCAGACACCAGAAACCACAGGGAAGTGTGAAATTTATTTTGATGCCTTGTGTGCGTGAACTCAAAAGGTAGAATAGTAAGACTTTCTGACACTAAGGCCACAATAATGATTAAAACACAAATTTTTCAGTTATCTTGATTTTGCCGTCTGTTATTTTGTATTTTGTTATCTTTAAAACCTGCGCTTTAACCGTCACACAACAGTGGGGTCCTTTTTTTTTTCGGGGTCCTCATTTTCATAACTACCTTCATCATCGTGTAAAGATGAAATAAAAAATTTTTGATATAGGAGAGAAATCGAGTTTCCAGATGGGGTTTGAACCCACGACCCTCCGTGATCTAGTCGGATGCTCTAACCACTGAGCTACAGGAGACTTTATGGTGAGCAAGGTTCAATTAGTGGGTATTGAATGGAACCGCAGCACGCGGCTACACATAGAGTCTCCTGTAGCTCAGTGGTTAGAGCATCCGACTAGATAACGGAAGGTCGTGGGTTCAAATCCCATCTGGAAACTCGATTTACCTTCATCATCATTCATGAAATTGCGAGAGTATAAAAAAATAAACTCAGCAGAAAATATCCAAGCAGGTTATGAACACGCTTCCTGAATTGTAACTTGATAACGTGAAAAAATAGTTGCTGGAAATGTGATGAATTATCTATGGTGCCAATACGAATTTACGGAATTTATCGTTCAAGGTCATTTATGAAATTCCGAGGTGTAACTGAATGAATTCAACACAAAATAATTGGTGGCTTACATTAAAGAGGATTCATGAATTGTCAAATGACAATGTGCAAAACTGTTCTTGAATTGGAGAACTGTAAACAACAATTATTACGCTTACTATGTGGCTATTGTGAGCGCATTCCAAGGTCTCAATTCCTTTCAATATGCGATCACAGCACAAACGCTTTTTGCAAAATGCGATTACTGTCAATTTCAGAGACTCTTTGTTCGCATCGCAAGCACGTTCATCATAACCCAAATATCGAGTAGTTTTCACTCGAGATGTAGGAGGGAGAGAAAGTCAGGCCCCATGTTTTGTGACACAAACCATCTTCTGTAGTTTTAACGAATCGAGTACAAGACAAAAAAACATAGCCATTAGAAATTGCCATGTCCAAACGATGCAGTTCACTCTTTTTAAAGTAGAAATCCGTGAAACCCGCGTGTTCGTTTGCGTCAGATTTTAGCGGTCCATAATTTCTCATAAGTTTGACAAGTTCTCACATGACAATGTTTTCAAAATCAAATTACCGGGTTAACTCAATTACTTTTTTTTAATTCAGTTTTCGGAAAGGTCCTTCCCTCCGTTCTTAGGGTAAAGTCACACGTCTTGGACCAAAGTGCGATTTTCTAAAAGAGGAATAACAAGTAAACCATGTGATTGTTGACAGAAGAGCAAATAATGGGGACTTGCTTTTTCCGTTCGCTATTATTTGAAAACTTTCTAGGTGAAAACGCTTGTCCAGATTTGACGAAAAAAATAATCCGTAAGTAAGTTTATTTTCCTTTAAATCCACGACCGAATGAAACATTAAAAAAGGAATGATTTGGAGAATAGTGTACAAGCTGTCAGAAATGTTGTTTAAGCAATGAACCGCNACGCTTTCACACTTGTGCTGGCCTCAATACTTACAGCAGAGCAGGAATTTTTCGTTGAAGTCATATGTTCTCTAAACTGCTGCCAGTATAGCCGGACCCGGAGTACGAGTCACAGACATCTGATTAAAATAGGCGCTCAAATTCGTTTCCTTCGAAGGAAAACGGATCCGATGGACGAGGAGAATCCCGCTATCGTCAGGCAAACTAGACCAGCGGACTAACATATTTTCTTCGAGATGAAATTTTGTCCCGAAATATCTTGCATATCATGACAGCTAAATGTTTAAAAAAAGCACGATTGTTGTTGTTGTTTTTTTTTTTTTTGCCAAAATTAGGTGGCTTCCAAGGAAGGACGTCGGGTTCTGTGAAGATTGCTATAATTTGGCAAGTTTTTTAAACTGAAGGACGCACTAATCTTACGCTACTTGTCGACAGATTTTTCACTTTAACGAACGAAAAAAGCTCTAGCAAGACCTGGGCCTAAGTAGCATTTGTATTCATACTTCCGACATTAAGAGTTTTCGTATGTCGCAATTATGTCTTCAATTTTCCCATTTGCCGTTAAATTTGCTTGCTAGAATCACTTACGGAACCGTTTAGACTGTTCTCTTCCCCTTTAACCGTTCAACCATGTGCCAAGATCTGATTTTTAATTCTCCCCTCTAGCTCCTACACATAACCTCGTTAATTAGTTACGAGAATCTGGTGTTAGACCAGGATGACAACTTCTACCTGATAAGTCTGAAAGCTCATTACCTGTTTGCTGGATAATGTATGGATCATTATTAGTAGAAGTTTCATGTCAATCACTTCTAAGAGTTAAAAGGCTAATATATATCTAGTAGCTCTCACTTTCTCTTAGATTTGCAAAGTTTTCTCAGTCTGTACCGGCTCCGTAATACACACGAGTTTAATTAGGCTCCTTACAGATGACAATCAGTTCGACAGATGAAGAGAAAATTACGGAGACGTTTTTAATTTTGTAGTCGATTTAAAGGCTGAAGAAATCAACTTTGAGTTCTCGATATGAGGACATTACCAGAATTTACAATCGAACTCTGTTTGTTTCTTTCTACTTTCTCGTTCTCCTTCTTCGTGTCTACTTTAGTCCAAATAAAAAGGCCGTAGTTAGACGTTTTTCTTCTAACTAAACCTTTACTCGTTATAATTAGCTCCTTTATTACTTCCCTCGCTAATCAGAAGGCCAATATGAAAAGCTGATAAAGTCCTCCTTCTATTTTTTCTTCTATTCTACTTTACATATATAAAGTCATTATTCAAGGTTTTAAACAAACGGTAAAACTTACAAATTCCATCATAAATAGGATAAAACTAAGTGTTAATTACAATCTCTTTTGTAGTCCCACCAAGTATAACATCAGTGCAATGTCCCAGTGCCCTCACGGAAGGTGACAATGTCAAACTTGTATGTAATTTCACCGGTAATCCGTTGCCGAGTGTTGTATGGAACAGAGCGAATACAAGAGAGACACTTTCAAACCGTGAAATACTGTTTATAGAAGACATCAAACGCAGCGACTCTGGTAGATACGAGTGCCTTGCTTGGAACGGAATTGGAAACAACAGCAGAGAATTCTGCGAAGTTGATGTAAACTGTAAGTAAAATTATAATTTGGATATATCAACAAAGTTAAAATGGTAAATTGGCCACCGTAANATTGCAAATAGATATACATCGGCGAAACAGGCAGAAGACTAGGTGACCGATTCCGAGAACACCTTCGAGACGTGGAAAGGAATGACAAGGACACATCGAAACCAGTCGCTAGACATTTTAATTTACCTAATCATTCTAAGCAACATATGGCAATCTGCGGTCTTTCCTTGCACTTAGGTGGCACGGAAAGCCGTAAAAATCTTGAACAAAAGCTCATCTTTCAAACCGGCAGTCTAAATCCCACAGGGATCAATGAACGCTTTTCATTCCACTAATTTATTCATGTTTTTCTCGTTGCCATGCACCCACCAATAACGTAGCTCCATTTTCTGCCTTTAAAAGCACACACAACCCACAATTCCTCTATTCGCTCCGACGAAGGGCTAACGCTCGAAACGTCAGCTTTTGTAATCATTACGGTGGCCAATTTACCATTTCAACTTTGTTGATATATCCAAATTATTTCGTTACTCCCACCGACGCAGCCCCAAACAGTTTCTTTCGAAACTATCAGCCTTTATTCATTTGTAAGTAAAATTAGTTCAGTGTAAAAGAAACTGAAGATGTCCAGCCTATTCCGCATCACCAACTGAGTTCCTTAAAAACACTTATCGCATCTATAGAAAAGGAAAGTCTATAACTTTTACTTCTTAACAGATCCTGCCCAGATAATGGATATATCTATCAACCAGACAGTTCAGTTGGGTAAAAATGTAACCCTCTATTGTCGAGTGATGGGAAATCCGGTACCGACCATATCTTGGACTCACAAAAACAATGTCGGGAGTGGTAGTGAACTTCATTTTGATTCCGCAAGATTCAACGACCACGGATGGTATAAATGTACAGCACAAAATGGAATTGGTTCTCCAGCCACTGCTCGTACATATCTTGATGTTGCGGGTTAGTAGGACTGCTATCTGAGGAAATTAATTATTGCAGCAGTGTATAGTTAGTCTGATTACTTTAACTGAGGGTCGCTAAAATAAATGTAAGGAAACCAACCGACAGCATCGAAAAATACTTTTGTTGCTTCGTACTTCAGTTATTTTTATTTACCACTTAGCCGAAAGAAATTTGATAGCTTAAGGGCAAATATGGACAATTTTATTTCTAAGTAATCACGCGCCGCAGACAGAAATTGTGGTTATGATAACTATATACTCCATAAATTCCATATCCTCGATGGATCCTAACTTCCACACATTTTAGTTTGTTTCTTTCAGGGTGATTCTGGGATATGTTCAATTATATATATATATATATATTATATAAATATACATGTTGCGACTATTACTTATAAGGTTACCATAACAACATTGCATTCCCCTTAATTTCTGCTTTATTTTTTCCGGTTTTGTTGTTTTGTTTTCTCTTTCTACTATTTGCATTTGCCTAGAGCAGTAACAGCTATTTTTTTTTTCATATTAGAAAGAGCCAGTAATGTGATAAATGTAAAGATGACAATCACTAATGAGGAATTTGACACAAGTCTCATGTACGAAGAGAGCAGAAGATACCAGCACCTCTCAAAGCGCGTTATTGAAGTGGTAAGTTTTCATGTTTATCGCTATGCGAAAGAATGGCATATCATACATACCTTTTAAAGATCACAAATCCGTATTGAAAAATAGTTTTTTTTTCCCAGATTGGAGATTTTTTCAGAACTGATAAGAACTTCAAAAGCGTTGAAATCCTACGTTTTGAGTGAGTGACTCAGTTTTTTTTTCAAAGTTTGCAAAAGTAGAACCCTATGATATAACTTTTAGTGTGGAAGTATTTTCTTTTCAATTTATGTCTTGTTTTCTTTGTTTTAACAGAAGAGGCAGCGTGGTTGTAATTTTCAATTTAAGATTCGAACGAACAGTACGCAACGACAACATTTTTTCTGCCCTGAAACACGCCGCGCTGGACAGAAAACTCGGAAAATTCACAATAGATCCACTGTCGATCATGGCACCTCAAGATGCCATTATTTCAGCAACAAGTTCGCCGAGGGTATCCTCCTCAGGTATCTGACTACTATTCTTTGAAGACTCTACGAAGACGTGCGTGTGGTTTGAACGGCAACATACCTAATCACTTACCGCATATGGCCGGGTCTGGGCCCGATCAGTCAAGGCAATTAAGCTAAATCCTTGCGGAATAGACAATCAAAATAAACCGTTCCCCTTTAATTTTTAGTTGCAATCAAATGTAACGAGAAAGCGCCAGTTTTTCTAGGCAAATTTCACTCTAAATTCAGTAGAGAATTTGCAATGATAAGAAGTCGTGGCCAGCCCGTGACCCGAGATGGCATATCAGTTAACGAGAGTTTTGTTTTGAAATAAGTTCACCCCTCCCGTCTTGTGCAAAGAATCTGTAATGTAAGATGGCTAAAATCTACAACATTAGAACCATTGATCATAAAAAGGCGCTGTTCCTAAATTTAGACAAAGTCTAAGCGAAAGGCCAGTGCTGCTGCAAAGGAAATTAAATGTACTTCGAATACATTAGTCGGGAATAAAATTTCCAGTAGACCCCAACCTTAAAATGTTTGAGTTCATCGTTAAAACTGCATTGAATATCTCATATTAGACTGGTACCACCAGCATATGTACGTTCATAGAGTTTTCTGCCTCAGAAAACAACAAAATTAATATGATGTCATAATTTTTGCTTTGAAATTTACGACTGGTAAGAAAATGTATATTTCTGCTAAGAAAAAAGTAAAATTCATACGTCATATACAGTAAATGTTTCCTTCTGCCGCAGGGAAAAAATATTTTAATACAACATCATATACAGCAAATATTTACTTCTGCCTCAGGAAAAAAGAAACAGAATTAATACGATGTCATACACTTTGCTTTAAAATTTGCGACTGATCAGCAAATGTTTATTTCGTCAGGGTCCACATGGATATTAGTCGGTTCTTTGTCGGGATCTTTGTTGTTTCTTTTGTTCATTGCCTTTGCTTTCTGGGTTTGTTGGAGACGATGGAAAAAAGGTAAGTATGCCAACTAACAGATACAAGTGGAAAACCTGTAAACTGTTTGTGGAAAACATGTAAACTAGCTTCAGCTAAGTGTTCCTACCCACGTTAAATAGAGATTATTATTATTATTATTATTATTATTATTATTA